ACTATATTAATAGGTTGACGTTAAAGTTCTTTATTAATAATTCTAGCATGAGAACTGTTTACTTTTTTCCAATTGAGATGAAGAATTTCGTTTAATTTAGCTTATCAGAAAAAGCATCATTTATCAACAATTTTAAAATAACATGTTCAATTTTAGGAGTGAGAACAATTAGAATGCTAAATGATAAACATTATGGTGCTCATTAACTGCAAAATTGTGTACTTCTCTGACTCTCCATAACAATAGACTCCACATCATCACAGAGTTTATCAGGTATTTTTTGAGATTTTTGGGGAAGAAAATGTACCAAATGTATCCCAAATGTTAGTTTTCCCATGAAAATTGTTCACTGTTACGTAATTACAGAGACTTCCCCAGCATTTGTATTATTAAAACTTACTACGTGCTTTCAGACTGAAAAAGAGAAAAAATTAGAATGAGATGTTTGAAATTCTTGGATTTGTACTTTAGTGGTTTATTTTTTAATTTTTCCATCTTTTTTCTAATTGAAGAAATATTAGAGATTTCAAGCTACTATTTCATAAAAGAGCACCTGCAGTATAAATAACCCTAATTCTCAGTAAATGGAAAAACAAATCTTAATGTGACTTTACAGAATTTTTTTTAAGATTTTATTTATTTATTTGTCAGAGAGAGAGAGAACAAGCAGGGAGAGCAGCAGGCAGAGGGAGAAGCAGGCTCCCCGCTGAGCAGGGAGCCCAATGTGGGGCTCGATCCCAGGACCCTGGGATCATGACCTGAGCTGAAGGCAGACACTCAACAGACTAAGCCACCCAGGCATCCCTTTTTTTTTTTTTTAAGATTTTATTTATTTATTTGTCAGAGAGAGAGAGTGATTTTACCGAATTTTGAACAGATGAATTCAACATACAAATGTGATAATTGTTTTTTCACCTAATTTGTAATACTATTCTCATTTTTTTCTCATTTAGTTGATGTAATTCAGCATCAGTATTCTTTAAGTTTTCTGTCTTTAGCCAATTAATTATGGGAACTAAACAATACATATATGACTAGGAATACATTTTTAAACTCTGTCATGGTGAACACATTCATGAAAACTAAAGGTTTGAGGTTGTGATAAATAAACTGAATCAACCATTTAGAAGTCTTGCAATAAAAAGAATCTTAGCATTTAAATGAGTTTAGAAGCATTGAACTCCAGCAATCATCAGTCCAACATTGTACCATCTATCTCAAAAGAAAATGAAAGCAACTGTGTGGAGGAACAGTACTCTTACTGTCTGCAGGAAAAAATTTGGTACAACCTCAATGAAGAGCAATTTGACAATATAATTCGACAATATAAACCAAAATTACAAATAGGCATAACTCTTTGGTTCAACAATTCACTTCTAAGAATTACATATGTAGATATATTTGCACAAGTACAAATGACATATGTAAAGATTATTTATTGCAGCATTATTTGTAATATCAAATATGTGTAAACAATCTAAGTGTCCACTAATGGAGGACAAATTATGGTATAAAGAAAGGATAAGGAAACTTATGCATTCACATGGAAAGATATCCAAGATAGATCGTAAGTGAAAAACAAGCAAGGTGAACAGGGTATAGTGTAAAACTAATTATGTAAAGTGAGAGACATAATACACATCCACATATATATTTTATATTTAAACCTATTAGCTTTTTATTGAAGTATAACAATATACAGAAAAGTACATGTTAAGTGTAACCTCAAAGATGTTCATAAAGTGAATACACCCATGTAACTGGCACCTAGAGTCTAGGTCCTAGATCAAGAAACAGAACATTACTATCACCCCAGAAGTCTCATCATGCCCCTTCTAGTCACTACCCTTCTCTCTACAAGAGAAGTCAGTGTCCTGATTTCTAAAAGCATAGTTTAGTGTTTTTTTTGCACTTAACAGAAATGGACTCATACAAATATATACTCTTTTGCGTCTGATTTTTTTTCATCCAACATTATATTTCGGTGATTCATCAATATTGTTATACATTGTCCAGTCTCATTGCTGTTTAGTATCCCATTGTGTAAATGTGCCACAATTTATTTACCCAATTCTACAGTTTATGGATATTTGGATAATTTCCAGTTTGAAGCCATTATAGATAGCACTGCTATGAATACTCTAGCATTTGCATATACATGTTCACATACCTAAAAGAGGAATTGATGTCATAGAATCTGCATAGCCACAATTTTAATAGAAACTGCTTTACTGTTTGCAAAATTGGTTGTACCAACTGATACTCCCACCAGCAGTGGGTATGAGAGTTCCAATTGCTACAAATCCTCACCCACACTTGGTATATTCTGTCTTTTTAATTTTTAGTTAGTATTTATGTAGTGGTATCACACTGTGGTTTTAACTTGTAGTTCCCTGATAACTAACAGTGTTGAGCACCTTAAGTCCTTCATTTGCTATTTGCTATTTAGATAGCCCCTTTTGTGAGGTGTCTAGGTCTTCTGCCTAGTTTCCCATGGGATTATCTGTTTTATACTTTTAAATGTTGAACAATGTGCATATATTACTTATTTTTTAAGTATTGTAATTGAAATATAAATTTTATAGAGTTCTATGCTTCACGCTCTCTCCTTCTTGGAGATTTACAATATACTAATATTACAAAAGCTCTGAAAAGTCTTACCCTTTTCACCATCACCAAACAGTTTGTAGAAATGTTGTTTCTGTTTTTGTATGATTTTTATTTCTCATAGACTTAATTGCTTTTCACTTAGATTTTTTAAGTTTTCTCTCCAATTTTATCACATATTTCATTAGATCTATCAAATATCTATCAATATAATTTCCCCAAAACTCAAAATTAGATAATCTATAAAATCAATTACTTTAACTAGATTTCCCTTGGAATCTGCCATCTCCCTGCTCCAGTGAAAAAAGGTTGCTCTCTAATTCTGCCACTTCCTGGGGTTTACCTTCACATCCTCCTGGTTCTGTTTTCTGGATCCCATGTCTTTCTCTTTCTTGATTTATTCCCATGTTTTGTTGGAGCACATGTTCCTGTCACTTTCTTTCAAAAAGAAAAGAAAAAGAAAAGGTGGATGGAAAGAAAGGAAACATTTGCATCCTTGTATATGTGAAAACATTTTTATTCTGCCCTTATACTTGATAGTTTAGCTGACTATAGAATTGTAGGTTGGAAGCTACTGTCTTAGAATTTGAAGAGATTTCATTTCACTGTGTTTTAGCATAAAAGTGTTATTGTTGAGAAATCTAATGCCATTCTAATCCCCATCCCTTTATTTTTGTTTCTTCCTTCTGAAAACCTGTAGAATCTTCTATTTGTTCTTATGGTTCTACCTTTTTAAGGATGTGCTTACATATAGGTCTTTTTTAATTCACTGACAGTACTTCGTGGCCCTTTCAATATGGAGACCCCTGTCCTTCAAACCTGCCAAAATTTCTTGAATTATTGTTTTGATCATTTCCTCCCTTCCTATTTTTTGTTCTTTTTCTGGAACTCTTAGTTTATTAAATGACTGGAAAATTAAATGAATGAATGAATGAATGGGGAAAGTTCTGAGCACTTTTTGTAGCAAAAAGTGTATTAAGCAATAAAGCACAGAGTATCAGACCATATCTTTAAAACTAAATATTTTATTTTAAATCATCAAAATTTTAAAATACAATGTTTCATCACAACTTCCCAGTATTGTAAAATATAACATTGCTACTCTCATTTGAGGCAACACAAAAATACAGGAAACATTTGTTCTCTGCTGACAAAAATACCCCATTCAAGTCAGGCATTCCTTATTACTGTGGCCTTAGAATTCATTAAAATGCCTAGTATGTACTTAGTATTGTATACAATACTTGCACTCACACTCTACAAAATAATCAAGTAGAAAGGTGTTTGTTCTAAGGTAAAAAACGGAAAGATGTTTGGTTGTTTTTGGTTAAAAATGAAATGCATTCCTCCCAGATCTATGAAAAAGAAATTTTTGCAGTCTTAGTTGGAATCAGAGGGACTGACTCTTCTCAAAGTTATTTTTCAATCTCCATATAGTTATGGGCGCCAGAGAGAAGAGAGAGAAAAGTAGCCCCCTAGTAGAGGAGCCTGGAACAGGAGCAAAACACCAGAACTTGTTAACAGAGTCAGACTCTGACAGGATTTATCACCCACCTCTCACTCCTGACGCACCTGGAAGTGAGGGATGATTGGAGTCCAGGTAGGCAGGTGAATTTACACCCTACCTGACCCGCTGGGCTCATCAGTGCCAAACTCTCGAAGTCACCACCACGCCCACCCCTCACCCGCGCGTCTCGCGCAGGCGCGGAGTCTGTAATCCGGCGCCCCCGCCCGCACCCCGCCACCTCTGGGGTCTGGAGACTCCCCCATGACTATGAGGCTCAGAGAAGATTCCTCCCTGGTGTGAGAGCACGTCGACCAAAATCGGACAGCAGGCTGCTGAAAGGAACTTTTTTTTTTTTCCCTCAGAGAAAACTTTTCTCCAAACCTGGAAAATTGGGGGGAAAGAAGACAAAACGAGCGTCCCTGGCTCCCTTCCCCACCCCTAACCCCCGCCCCAGCCCCGCGGGTGTCGCCCAGAGCGTGGGGGCCGCACCACGTGCCGGAGATCCGGGGGCCGGGGGCTGGGGCCCCTCTCCCCGCCTCAGGGTCTGCCGTGACGTCACCTGAGAAGTTTGGGGAGGGAGGAGCTTGAACTGCCCGGCTCGGGTGGCTGGTGCGCCTGGGAAGGCCAGGTCGGGGGAGGAAGCTCCTCCTCGATGCGTAGCCCCGGCAGAGTTGACTCCGATACCCAGAAAAGTCCCCTCTGACTCCAGAAAAGCAACGACTGGCGTGAGCCGCGGGGGGCATGGGCTTCCTCGTGACCTAGTGTCCCGCCGCGGGTAGTGCCCGGGTGCTCCGGCTCCGGCACAGGCGTGGGGGGGCGGGTGCGGGCTCCCGAGCGCAGCCGAGGAGCCCCGGAAGCCGCCGAAGCGGCGGGCACACCCAGAGCCGGCCCGCGGCCTCAGAGCCCGCGCCGCCCGCGACCATGAGCCGGGAGGCTATCTGCAGCGCCCTGCCCACCATTCCCTGCCACAAGCTCGCCGACCTGCGCTACCTGAGCCGCGGCGCGTCGGGCACCGTGTCGTTTGCCCGCCACGCAGACTGGCGCGTTCAGGTGGCCGTGAAGCAGCTGCACATCCACACCGCTATGCTCGACAGGTAGGGCACCCCCGCGGAGCCCCGAACACCAGCCCCGAGCAAGCGGGCTCTAGAGCCCAAACGGCGGCGACACTTGCGGTCGGCCCCACCCCTCGTCGCCTCAGGGCCGCCCTTCAGGGCTCGGGGCTTGCGTGGTGGGGAGAACTGGCTTCTCTGGAGATGCAGCCCTCGCATTCCTCCGCTCACCTCTTCTCTCCACCGCCCTCTCCTGCTCTGTCCCTCTTACTCCTGGGCTTCCTCTCTCCAGACACCAAAAGCAGGGTGTTTCGGTGTAGGCCTGCGGTTGTTTTGTTTTGTTTGTGGTTTATTACGTATGGTCATGAAAGTTTAGATACCAGACTGTACTTGCTTTAGTTTCTCCTCTCACTCTCGCAGGGAAGCCTGTCCCCAAAGGATGTGTATTATTTTGCTAACAATACACTGAATCAGAAAACAATTAAACGACCAGAAATTTTGAATGTCTTTCACATCCTGAACAATTTCCGTGCACTGTCTAGGTTTTAAGGGAAAGTTAGTATTAGTTTCTGTTTCAGAAAAACATTTCATTCCTATACCATTGACCTGTGATCGAATGTATTAGTCAGTAGGTCTAGTCATTTAGTCTTGTGTATTTGCCTTACAGTAGAGATTTAACTAGGCCCTGCATTCAGTCCTTAGTGAGTTAACATCCATGATTGCAACACTCTCCTCTCCTCCCCCTCTATCTAATGTCAGAATTCATGCTGGGTGCCTGATTGGTCAGAGGCTGTTAGTATCCAATGTCAGATGAATCCCTCAGTTTCAGCCTTACCAATGTTCACTGGACTTTCATCTGCCTGTAGCTTTACTTTGCTGTCTTGCTGTCAGGCTTGGATGGGCCAGATCTCACGGTAAATTTGAGACACTTGTGGAGATTGTTCCCACTTGTTGTATATCATAATCCAGATCTAGTGATATTGATAAGATGTGGTGTGTGTTTCACCTGGGCCTTGAGTTCTGTGGAGCAAGTGCTGGGCAAATGTGTGTATGTGTATGTAGTCAAGTTTGAAGGGTGGTGGTTGGTTAGAAAGACTGAAAATATTTTAGAATCAGCTATGTAAATTTATGGATATCTAACCCAAATGGACCCTTTAGGTATTCTAAAGCAAGTTGATCTTCCCGTTTTGGATGCTGCTTCTCAAGATTTTAATTTATCCAAGTTTTGTGCTATTTGAGAGCAAAGGAATGAAGAGGGGGTTCCCTTTCTATTCTTATTAACAACTTTCATAACCTAAAACTCTTCAGTAAATTGGTAGGAAATTCTGTTGTCAAAGAAGTCATAAGGACCAGTTAAACCCTCTGGCATTACTGCATCAGGTTCTTTTTCCCACTTGTTACCTAAAATGTTAACTTTAGCAGTATTCTTGTAATCTGAGCATAGGACAGGGCTATGCAGTTGACTCACAGGGTGTCCATTTCCTCACTTATAAAGTGGGAATAATAAATCATGTACTTGGGCTCTGGTGTGGAAAAGGTTTGCATTGTTCTTTGAGACCATCTGGAAGAAAAATAAGTTTATGTGCAGTTACGTATTTTTATTTTAGTGATTGGTGAGTCATTCTCCGTAACCTGACTTCTCCCCAGTGAGTGGGCCTTCCCCAACAATCTCCCGACTCTTTATGTGTGGATGAGTCTGATTGGTTCTTCAAACATCGTGTGGATGACATAACTGTTTTGTGACTGAAATTTTGAGTTGGGTAATTTTGGTGATATGCCTATGAAAACTGTAACTTTTTATTTTTAAAAATATAAAACCTATTTTAGACCTATTTATTTTTGGCTTTTTCTGTTTTGCCACTTACTCAATTTTCCTGAAATCTGACTTCAGGAACTTTCCTTGATCCTTTCCTTTCTCTGATCAAGCAGTGGAATGGAAAGAACACAGGCTTTGGAGTCCCACAACTGCAATTCAAATCTGACTCCAACCCTGCCACTTAATGTTGGCCTGACTATTAGAAAATTATTTATCTGAGCCTCAGTGCCCTCATATAAAGTGGTGTTAAGGTAACCAACTTTAGAGGGTTGGTCTTCGGATGATAGTACATATAAAGTGTATGACACATAATAGGATCACAGTGGAAGGAAGAATGCCTGATACTCTTAATGAGAGAAAGAATAAGTGTATTAAGTATCACTGAGACTTCACCAGCATGCTCTCTCTCTAGTTTTTTTTTTTTCAGTATCCAGAAATCTTCAAGTCCATCCCCTGTCTCCCTGCAAGAGTGCTAAACAATAAGATGTAGTTCTTGTTGACCTCCATCTCTTACCTTTTCAATTTAGGGAGGATAAGTTTAATTAAAACAGGTCTCATAAACTGAATAATAGGTTGCCTCACAGAGTATTAAGTGGCTGAGAACAGGGAGAAGGAAAAAAGCTTTTTACTTTATGTCCTCTTGTAACTCTTGAATTTTAAAACATATAAATATATTATCTATTCAGAACATAAATAACTAAGATTTTTTGCTTTATTTTGGCTTTTGTTTGCTTTTAGAGCAAGCCTCATAGTCTGATGTGGAATGTCTGTTTTCTTACTTCAACAGCCATTCATCCAGAGCTTGAGTGGTTTAAGCACCAACTAACCATCATTGCTTACCCAATAAACTTCTGGAGATGTTTCTATTTTTTTTTTTTAAGATTTTTTTTTTATTCTTATGTTAATCTCCATACATTACATCATTAGTTTTAGATGTAGTTTCCATGATTCATTGTTTGTGCATAACACCCAGTGCTCCATGCAGCAAGTGCCCTCCTCAATACCCACCACCAGGCCAACCCATCCTCCCACCTCCCTCCCCTGAGATGTTTCTATTTTGTTATTGCTGCTACCAACACATCTGTCTATGGTAAAAACCAGTGACATCTCCAATTCCCTTGCCTTTTTTTTTTTTTTTTTTTTAATATATGTCTACCGTAGTCACCACCGCCTGGGCATTCTATTCAACTAGTGTTTTTCTTTCCATTTTCACTGTGACCTTTATAGTTTCAGACTCTCATTGCTTCACATCTTTAATTAGTATTGTAATATTCTAACACCTGACTTTCAAACTCTGCCCGTTTCTGCTGATCATACATCCTTCTGCCAAAATAGTCGTCCTAAAAGTTTGCTCTGCTCATGTCATTACCCTGCGCAAAAACCTACAGTCACAATTTGCTAACTACCAAATAGAGTGTAAATACCCTCACCTGGCTTTAGGGCTCTCAGATGAGGCTCTAGCCTACCCTATTCACCTTCATTCCTTTCACATGCTCTTTTAGGTATCCTGATTCATATTAAACAATCTGCCGTTTTCCAAACACAACCTTCACTGTAACTTCCTTGAATACATTTGATACATATCTATTAGATATCTACCAGGTGCCAGGTCCTGTTTCAGGTCTGAGGGACACATAGATGAGAAAGAAAAGCAAAAGTCCTCCCATCTTGGAGGCCATATCCATCTTGGCCCTTTTACCAATGGTTGATATTCTATCTGCCCTTAAAGTACAGTTGAAATCCCTCTTTAAAGACCGTTCAACTCCCCTAGCCCAAAGTTTACTCTTTTTTCTGAGTTCCCCATAGTTCTCTATTTATTCATTTGCTTACTTACTTAACTTGCTTGCTTGCTTATTTATTTATTTGTTTATGATGGCACTTATCACATTCTGCCTTATGTTTTAAGTATGTATTTTCTTTCTTTTTTTTACTTGCTTTCCTTTTTTTAACTTTATTGAGGAATAATTGACACATGTAATTATATATATTTAAAGTGCACAACATGATGATTTGATAGACATATGCATTGTGGAGTGATTACCAAGATCAAGATAATTAACACATCCAAAGAAGACCTACAAATGACCAATAGGTATATATGAAAAGGTCTTCAACATCACTAATCATTAGGGAAATGCAAATCAAAATCACAATGAGTATTTATTTTTCTTAAAAAATTTCTTGGCAGCTTGAGGACACAGACTGTGTTTATCTTTATATTCTCCATAATGTTGAGCATAGTTTTTATTCATAATAAATGTTCAGTATTTATTTGTTTTGTGAATGAACAAGCAAATGAACCTGGGATCCAGAGTTGCCCCAGGGATCTGTTACAAGCATTTACCTGTTCTAGGTGTTCTTTTCCTGAGTTCCACTGTATAATTTCTAAGCATTTTTGACCCTTATGCAACTATTATCATCTAGTCATTTAAATCTACAACATTTAAATGTATTATGTAAGTATTTGGAAAAAATGCACATGGTATGCAACCATGAAATTTAATATAATATTCTAATCAAATATAATCTAATACAACATAAACTTTAATTAATTCAAACAGCAATAATTCTAATATCAATAGACTTTATAAACTTAATTCAAACAGCAATAATTCTAATATCAATAGACTCTATAAACTTTCTTAAATATTGTGTCCTTTTCCTTTCCTAGGAAAGTACAATAATAATAACCTGTGTATATCGCACTTTTTTGTGTCAGTGGCTCAGAGAAGTTATTATGGACTCTAAACAGACGTGTGGAATGTATAGGGCAGGTATTATCCCTACTTTAAATATGAAGAAACTAAGGGACAGAGAAGTGCATAATTTACATGAGGTCAATTAATGGGGGGGAAAATCTAGTCTTAATGTTATAGGCATGATTATTGTGTATTTTTCATTACTTTGAAATAATTATGCATTTTCTTTCTTTAGTGAAAGAAAAGATGTTTTAAGAGAAGCTGAAATTTTACACAAAGCTAGATTTAGTTACATTCTTCCAATTTTGGGAATTTGCAATGAGCCTGAATTTTTGGGAATAGTTACGGAATACATGCCAAATGGATCATTAAATGAACTCCTACACAGGGTAAGTATCGTGCATTTTTAGTAGCTATCATTCTATTATTCAAGCTATCTAGTGTTTTGGTTTTACATATGATCAGATTATTTGGAGAGCTATAGATGAGTCAAAATAAGAATGGAAAACAATTACAGTGGTAAAGTTAGACAATTTATGACTTCTTTTGTGTTGTTAAAAATATCAGAGAGTCAGGCTGCATTCTGCAGGACTGAGGTTATTTTGCTTAGGTTACTGTTCCTGAGGTGTAAACTGAATTCCAGTAACCACATGTATATATAAAGAAGTAGGAGAGGGAAAGAGAACAGATAAACTCTGTACACTATATAACCTCCTGTTAGTTAAGCCAAATTTTATCTTAAAAACAATTTAGGGGGCGCCTGGGTGGCTCAGTTGGTTAAGCGACTGCCTTCGGCTCAGGTCATGATCCTGGAGTCCCGGGATCGAGTCCCGCATCGGGCT